AGCAGGATACAGGTCACGGATGCAGAGGGTCTTAGTGCCTCCCCAGATACATCAGTGCAAGTCCCTTTGCATGATGTGATGCATCTGGATTCATTGACCCCGCCAGCCCAGATGTGCTGTGAACTTTTAAGAATGGGTCGACTAGACAAACCCCTGTCAGCTGAGCAGTAATGCTTGGGCTAGCTTGATGGGAAGAACAGGCTTAGATGATGTAGCCCAGTGTCATTCCCATCTCACCTGCATTTTCTGCTCAGAGGATGGGAGCAGCAATGGGAATATAGGACAGGAAAGGATCCTCGGTGCCATCACCAGCCTCTGGCACTCACAGGCAACCATGGACTAGACACGAAGTCCAGAAACAAGACATCCACTGTGGGCCTTCCTGCTCTGCTAGCCCCAGGCACCCCCTAACCACCCCGCTTTGTAAGACAAAGTCCCAGTGCTGTTGGTGTTTATACACTCAGGTCCCCAAGCTATTTCCAGCAGGGAGTTTTATTGGCATCTCATCAGAGGCTTGAAAGCCTGGCTCACGTGCACAGACCAGAGCTCATTGCACCTGCTTGACTGGCAGGGATGCTCCAGATGCAGACCTGGGGAGTCACAGCACTTGAGTGTTATGTGCAGGGAGCACTGGACAGAGATGCTACTGCTATTCATTTATTTTGGATTGTCACTGAAATCCTATGGGAAGTTCTCTACCCACTTCCCTGAGCCCTAGTGAAACAGCCTCACAGCTTGAGGAGGCTGGACAAGTCATTCACAGTCACAAAGTCAGTCTAGGGGGAGACAGACGCATATTCGTCTAGCGGCTCACCCCGAGCCAACCTTCCTGCTGTATTTTACTCTGACCATCGGTGAAGGACATCGACTGCAGCAGGCATGGAAAAGGTTCCCGGGTCCAGTTAGAAACATAAAAGCTGCCTTGGCTCCCAACCCTCCTACTTCCTCCCTTCCCTCTCCCTTCCACAGGTCGCTTCGCTGTCCGCGACATGCGGCAGACCGTGGCCGTGGGCGTCATCAAGAACGTGGAGAAGAAGAGCGGGGGGGCTGGCAACGGTGGCGCTGGCAAGGTCACCAAGTCGGCGCAGAAGGCCCAGAAGGCTGGGAAATGAATCGTAGGCGCCCAGCGCACCGCGCAGAAACCATCCCCGGCCCCAGGATGCCTCCACCTCCTCCCCCAGGCGCATGTGTGCACATCAGCTTGTAAGAGTTTATATGTCAACGACTGGATGCTCACCATTAAGGTCCAGTGGAAATTCTTTAAAAGGAAAAGCATGTTCCAGCGTTCGTGAGGCTTCATGTTACTTTTACCAATAAACTGGTACAACATCCACAGTGCAGGGCGTGTGCGTGTGTGTCTGTTATGGCTTCGGTACCAAACTGGAAACACGGGGCTCTTATTCTCAAGGGCTGCAGGCCTCCCATGACCAAGTAGCCCCTGGCTCCAAAGCACTTATCCTCCCAACAGCCCTATGAGGCAGGGAAAGGGTGTTCTGGACAGGGGAAACTGAGGCACAATGTTCCAAGGGGCTTTGGCATTTGATTTCCATTAATTGCCCATGAGGCCCGACCCTAAGGTGTCCCCAGGAGTGTGTAAAAGAGCAGGGGCTTGAACTCAGGTGTCCCCTACAGCTAAGCACTGCTCTGACCACTGGGCCACCTTTCCTTTCCAGCTCTAAGGCAGCAACATAAATGACCCTGGTTATATAGGAGCTCAGTATCACAGAGCCCAGGCTAGCTCCCAGCCTATGTCCAAAGCAGGACTTCAGCATTTAAGCAGTAACATCTCCTGCATTTGTGCCTACAGGGACAGCTGCTCCCAGAAAGCAGGTAGCTGCTCTATTCTGCATGGGTCCGGACAAGCAGTGTCCTGGTATAGAGGCAGCCAGGGTCCTCCGGGTGGGAGAGGCTCATGCATGGAGCATCTAGCCAGGTAAAATCTCTCACGACACCTAAAAGTCCCCAGCTCCCCCCGAACAGCGATGAGAAACAATCCCAAGCAAAATTCAGATCTCAATTCTAGTCTCAATTGCCCCAAATTTAACCCTTTTAATCCAGCTTCTACCTTCAGCCCATTTGGGACTGCATTTCCAAAACCAAACCCCCCGGAGAGCAGAGAGGGGTGTATTAAGCCCAGCCTCTGGGATGGATGGTAACGCAACGGGCACATACAATGCAGGGGTGCTTATCAGAGCAAAAACACGACCTGATTCCCCATCGTATTTGGGAGGAGGGAGGTGAAGGCAAGCCTGAAATCACAGCAGCCATCCTGCTGCTGCCTGGCAGGACTGGCCAGGGATATTGGAGACCACGTGGGAACCAGTAGCGCTCCGATTATTTTTGCCAGGTTTACGAAGCCTGCACAGGGAAGCAGGTGCCAGGGGAATGCACTCATGGCTATTTCGGATCCGGTGGCAGACTGACACCAGCAAATGGACTTTTTTGGCCTGCTGAGGCCTGCGATCTGGGGATGAGCAGGGCAAGAGTGGTGCAAGAGATATGAAATGTTGCTACGAATTCTGGAAAGCAGGCTGCCGGCACCGCACAGGTGAGGGGGGGGCTGGTTTAACAGTCAGGACCAGTGAAGTAGGGCAGGTACAAGAGAAGCAGCAGAGAGGGGTAAGGAGCTGGAGGAAGCTGGGGGTAATATTGCTTGGTGCTGCATAAACTTTCCCACACAGAGCTGGGAGAAGCAATCTGCTCCCTGGCTAGCTGGGATAGATGGGGTCAACTTCTAAAAAGTATTAACGACCTCCCCTGCACATACACAACCCGACACGGGGCGGTAACCCTCTTGTACCTGGTTGTCACCCTCGCAACCACATTGCCCCCCAAATATGAGCTTTAGGAAGACCAGCCTTTGAAAGGACAGGCCCAGGGGCTGCACTGCCGTGCCACAGCAACACAGCACCGTGCCCCTCGTATCACACAGCATGGATGGTATAAGGGCACGTGCTGCATCGGGTCTACCGGAGATCACCATCCCAGGGCCAGGGACTCCTGGTTTTTGACCTCCAAGAAGGGCTGGGAGCAAGCAGGGAGAAGCAGTAGCTTCCTCTTCTGGGGTACAGACACCCCAGAGGTCACCCCTCGCTTGCTCCTGCGGCTGTACGGTGAGGGCCAGCAAAATTTGGAGGCATCCCGACCCCAACCCTCTGGGCTCGGGCCTGCACGTAGGATGCCTGCCAAAGGATTTGGAAGTATCTGAAGCCCCAGGTGAAGGTGGAGGGTGCTTTCCAGTACCAGGGCCACATATGGTTCTTGAATGACTCATGAATCTGGAATTGATTTGGCTGATTTGAGTTGGGACACAAAAAAGTTTTCATAAAAGGACCCCCCCCCACCAAAACTCAGTGGGGTATCGCATCGGGAGCTCGGGTGCCTGATAAGTCTCACACAAGGAACAATCCTGGACCTTTTCTTTCAGGCAGCAGCATCCCTTTAGATATCAGGAACTAAAGGGCTGCACTGAGTGCTGACTTCTGGCGACCGTCCAGCGTGGTCATACACCCGTGAATGGTCTTCTGGGCATGGACGAGGGAACTGGGCTCCCTCTTGTGTCGGCAAGCAGTTAATGCTCTTGGCTTTTTACAGAGATGCCCCAAAACTGACTGGTCTTCCCGTCTAGGCAATGCCTGGAAGCAGGACACTATCACCCGCAGGAGGTTCAGAGCTCTGGCCCTCAAAGCCAAAGCATGGTGTGACCCCAGTATCCCTAGCATGAAGCCCCTACAGAGATCCTAGCCCTGGGTCTGTGCCTGGGGGAAGGAAAAGTGGCACATGCTGCTGTCAAGGTGCAGCAGCCCCCGAGCCCCAAATATACGGGTGCATGCATGCAGCCCTTCTTGGACCCCTGTGTTCGGGTGGCACAAACCAGGTTGAAGCAAGAAAATGTTGACCACGCCGCGTACCCTGCGGGACATAAAGAACAACATGACAAATAAGTCAGGGTGGAGAGGAAGTTAAGGCCAGTTGCTGCTCCTGAGCTGCTACCTGGAGCCCTGCATTGGACTGGGGAGGACCTGTGATAAAAGGGACAGCCCATGAAGCCAAGGCATGATGTGCTGCCACAGCGCAGGATCTCTGCATCCCCTTCTCCCCTTTGAATTCAAAGCCCATGAGTGGTCTGTGGTTCCATGCAGGGTCTTAGAGATTTTAGCAACTGCAGGCATGAAGCCTGCGCTCCCAGAGCCTTAAGACGGAGTTGTGCCTCAATCTCATTCACTTCCCACAGGCTGCGTGCCCACCTTTCTGAAAGGTTTTAAACTAACCTTTTTCTGATGGTGATTTATAATACAGGCCCAGATCCCTTTTCACTTCTTTTCCTGGAAAGCTTAACAAATACCCGGAGAACTACCAAGGTCTTGACTTGAGAGGGACCCACACAGCATCATCATTAGAGTAATGGAAAGCGTGCAGGAGGTCTTGAGAGGCTGCTCTTCGACTCCATCCCCCGAGGAAAAGTAAACTCGACAAAACCACAACTGGATTTCCACGCTGAGCTGCCAACGATGAGTCGGGAACGGCTTGCGTGCGGCAAGGTAATTAACAGTGTGGTTTCAGTGAAAGGAAAGTTCAATCCCCGCCCCGAGGATATGATTCAAAATTGCTTATTGTCAGTACTCAGCTCTATGCTAATGGACCCCCCAGGACCACATGGGTGTGAAATCAGAGCCAGGGTCTACACTGGGCATCTCTGAGATGCAATCAGGACCTCCTTGGAGTGCAGAGGGGCTGATTTGACTCATTTTAAAGGACATGGTAAGTGGAGAAATCCTGAGGGTCCCAACCCATTAATATTGATTTGAGTTGGAGGTTAAAAAAAAATCCAAGGACCTCCAAGTGAAATGCACTTGAAGAGTGGAATTGTCTAACGTTTCATCTCCTAATCATGTGAATCCATAATCTGAGCCAGCGTTGGAGCTGACGTCCCCCAAATATGGACTCAGATCAGACCAGGACATTCAAGCTGTGGCCCTCAAAGCCAGCACATGGCCCAGACTCCTTGGTATGAAACCCCAGACAGGGATCCTGGCCCAGGGTTGTGCCCAGATGAAGGAAAAGTATCACATGCACCATGCTGCTCTCGATAGATCAAGGTGCACCAGCCTCAGAGCCCCATCCTGAATGTAGATATAGAGGTGTATGCATGCATGCATGCATGCCAGAGCCCTTCTTGGACCCCTGCAGTTGGGTGGCATGAGCCAGGTTGGGGGAAGACGATGCTGATGCTTGTGGACCACACCACGTACCCTGCAGGACATAAAGGACAACATGGCAAATAAGTGGGGGTGAAGAAGTTAAGACCAGTTGCTGCAGCTCCTGAGTTGTGACAGGTACAACTCTGTGCTCGACCAAAGCGTGCCCAAGTCACGAGAGGGGCCTGCAAATCTCTGTTTGCATCCCAATTTTCTTTCAATACCATACACAGACACTAGTTCACTCCCAGATGGGACAGTCTGAACATGGGCAGAGGTGCAAACCTGAGACTGCAACATGAGACCGGATGGTGGTTGCGTGGCTGATGGACTTACAGGAAGGGCATCGCTGGGCTCTGCTGATCACATGAGGATTTGTCTTTTAATTTCCTCGTTCACCGCAAAAAGCTCCCCTGATAATGGATGGAGGCACTGAAAACACAGCTCTCGTGGGAAAAATAACCAGGAGGCTTCTCTCCCCTCCAGCTCTGGGCTCCCCACATAACATCCAGCCCCTCAACGCCGTGGTGGATTGGCATTATGAAAGGTGGACCTCAATATTGCAGTGAAGGGGCAGGGTCCCCATGACCCAACAGGCAAAGGGAGCCAAGGGTTTAGTTTGCAGCTTTAAAGGATTGTGGAGTGGGGCATTTTGAAGCCACATTTAGCCCAGATCTCAGCTGCCTGTTTTCTACGCTGGGTTGCAGGCCCCGTGCATACAGCACCCACGCAGCTTCCTATTCGAAAAGGAGCTTGTCATTGCAGCCGCCCTTCACATTTGCCTCTGTGCTGGCACCTGGTGGAAGTGAGCGAGAACTCACTTTTGGTTAGATCAGTGGCTAAATCAGTGATTCTTAACCTTTTTCACACTGGAAGCATCCCTCCCTTGACTCAAGGCCTCCCTTGGAAGATGCCAGCGCTTAGCTCTCACTCCTTTCTTGACCATGGAAAAATAATCGAGCGAGTCTTCTGCTGCAAAGAAAGACCCAAGCAGGTCTGAATGTGCGTTCCTATTTAAAACCGCTGGGTTTATCTTGCACACCTGAAAGAGCTAATATTGCGTGGCACCCTTGACAGGATCTCAAGGCACCCCAGGGTGCAGCAGCATTTTGCCTGAGAATCACTGCACTAGATGAACAT